GCAGGGTGCTATTTCGAGCCCTGGGCTATCCTATGGGTGATATGGCGCAGACGTCCGTTTTAATCAGTAAAATACACTATGATTAAGAAAGGTTACTGTAGTCCTTAACTTAACCGAATCTAATTGACAGATTGATATTTGGCGCCCCGCGCCTTTCCTTGAGCTCTATAGCTCGTTTTATACAGTACGATAGGCTACGGATAGACTATGGTAAAAAAAGGTTTCTTAAGTCCTTCACCAAAATTAATTTAAGGCATCGTCTGGCGCCCCGACGGATTGCTATTTGGCGCCCCGGGCCTTCGCGTACTCACTATGGCGCCTACGTTTGTTTAAGTGAGTGCAAAAGACTATCAATAAGTTGGGATATTATAGTCTGTTACAAAGTTAAATCAGGCGGTTCCACCGGCACCCCAGCAGGGTGCAAATTTTGCACCCCGAGCTAGACTGTGAGCACTTCGCGTTCGTGTTTGCATTTAAGTTTGTGTATATGTTTGAGTTGGTGTTTTTATTTTCTTTGTGTATGGGTTTGCGTTTGTGGTAGGGTGTGTGTTTGCGTTTGTGTTTCTGTTTGCGTTTGTGGTATGTTTGCATTATTTTGTGTTTCCGAATGGGTATGTTGTGGTTAAATTTAATTAGAAAAGTAATACATTTCCTAAACCCGGGCAATGCCGGGTATATTTTGCTTAATAATCACACAAGTCTTGTCCTTTACTAATAGGTTTTTCACAGATGCCAGTGCAGGCCCTGGCCGAGACGGCTAGGCTGACTTTCTATCGATATACTACTAATACTCATGTTTTTTGCGTTTGTATATTTATTTATTTATTTTGTTTGTTTTGTTTGTTTGTCTGTTTTTGTTACAGGAGATAATCTGCATAATGTTTAGTACTGTAAAATACGTATTTAGGTAGAGAATAATGTTACCAAACTGTTAATCGCAAATTTATTTATTTAATAATTTAGTTAATTAATGTATTGATTAGTAGAAAAAACACTTAAATCTTAATAGTTCGGAACAATTACTTATAGTGACGTCACATGATACGCTTGCTGTAATTTTTACAACAATTATGGCGGCTTCCATGGAAGATCATTTTGCCCATTCAAAAGTTTAACGCATTATAAAGCTGAATAATCGGGGTCTCCATGCTGCAGCTTTATTGCCTCCCCTCCTCCTCTTTATTCCGTCACTGGCTGATAAAGTTTGTTCGTTTGTATTTGTGTTTGATTGCAAATGTGTCTGAGTGCGTATGTGCAAGTTGCGGTTTAGGCATTTGCGCTTGTGTTTTCTATTTACTCGTAAATCATTTGAATCAGGCATGCCTATTGTATTTGCCAGAAAAAATATTTGCGTCTGTGCTTAAAGGAAACACATTAATAGCAAGCAGTGAGGTGGCTTTGGAAGGGTAACACTGAGTCGTGCGTTGAAAGCTAAGAATAGAACTGCTAAGTAGACCGTGCCTGAGTCCACCAAACTCTGATGAGTACCATGAAATCCACGTGTCCTTTTACTACTAAATATGTGCACAGATGTGTATATATAATTCTCTTCTTGAAGACGCTGGAAAACACCAAGCTGTAAGCGCGAATAGCAACCCCCTCTCTTCCTCTCTAGGCTTATCCCTTCCACTCCACCCCCACCCCCACCCCACATGGTTTGGTGAGCTGTGGTTTACGCTAAATGGTTGCAATCGTAGAGCCGGGTTTAGCAAAGGCTATTAGGGGCAGATAATTTAGTTTGGAACGATTTTAAACTTATTGGAGGTAACTACAAGTAGGCTGCATTCACGGGGTGAGGGGGGAGGGGGGTTGGAGGGTAGGGTTTGGGGGAAAGGAGGGTTGGAGGGGGGTATCGTCCTTAACGACCTACTGATAGTGTTTTAAAGCAAATATTTTCAGTGGCAGAACTGGTACTGTCAAATTCACAAATTTTGAATTACTGAAAAAAAGAAAATAAAACAACTAAATAGCGGCATATGATACGCCGCGGGTCGGCTCGTATTTGAAATCACGCGTGCATTCCTTGTGGTCCTGAAAGGGTTAATCAAACAGGGATTAGACAGGAAACTCATTTTGTTGTAAGTAAAGCTTAGTCTTTATAAGACTATAAATCCTATTGCTTTTATTACACATGTATGCAGGTTATTTAAATTGTATTACAAACTGCATTCAAAGGGAACACCTTAAAATAACGTTCTTTCGAACAATAAACTGGTTTATATTTAATGCTCCCTTGCTGATTAGCAATGTAGCTATAAGCCAAATAGAGTTAAGTTATGAAAAACATTGAACTGTAATAATAACACTGCGCTGGAATTTATTAAATTATCTTTTATTAAAACAAATGGACGTTTTGCTGTTATTGCGCATCTGACAAAACAAATATTATTTTCAAAGATATACAAGCAACACTAATTATTACAAAACTTATTACAGAAATCACGTGTTTAGTACTAATTTCTATGAATTCTTAGGTGGTTTGGTCTTTTTTTTTTCTTGATAACCTGCGTATAGCAGTCATATATTACGGCATTTGTTAGAATAGCTATAATAGCTGTCCACTAATCCTACAGTGAACCTAGTTGTAAAGACAGTACATTACGGATTTTTGTAAACTAGTCATATATTACGGAATTTTTTAGAGTAGCTATAACAGCTGTTCACTAATCTTAAAGTTAAACTAGTTTTAAAGACCACACTTTGTAAACTAGAAATATAGGTCTTCTATTATGTCACTGTTAAATCTAGCAATAACGGTCGTCTACTACGTCACCAGTGAACATGGCAATAATGGCCGTCCTCTACGTCACATTATAATCTACCTAAAATGGCCGTCTACTTCGCGGTTTGCATGTTACACATAATACATCTTCTCTGTAACAAGTAATATAGGATATAATGCTGATTAGAACATTCTACAATTAATCCACACATTTAAATAAACTATTGAGTACTTAAATAAATGCCACAGCGAGAGAATTTCGAACTAGAGCAAGTATTACAAAGGTTTAACCGGTCGATAAATGATACGTGTCGTACTACCATTGATTTTTTTATATAAGCTTGACAAACATAGGCAGATCCAAATGATAATATTTATATAACTATAAAGAAAAGCGTGTGTCGGGTGCCCGACATTGGGCACTTCACGGCGCCGCAGGCGCTTCAAATTTGGCAGGATTTTGCCTTGGGGCGACAGAACACGGAGGCCGGTGCCGGTTGACCTAAAGGTCTACGATGAGGGGGTCAAAACAGACCTCGACTGACCGGCGCCTTATATGAGCTATAAATCGAAAAAAAATTGTCCACGTAGGAACCTCTTCATAACTCCTGAGGTCGTAGACCGACCCTCGGGCGAATTCATTAAGCATTCAAATTCTCAATATTTTTGAAAGCCTAAGCGAAGCATGCCTAGTTTACTATAATGTTTGGCATATTTTTTACAAGCACATTAAATGTGTGGTTATTAAACTAAAAAAAAAGAACAAAAATCCTGTTTCAAAAATTGTTAACTTTTAAATTGTGTTATTAGTGTTGTTGAAAAAACAACTAATGATAAAGAAAATTATAAGCCTTCAGCGAGTATAATAACTTTATTGAAAAAGTAACCATTAAAATAAGTAAATATGAATAATGATTCGATAACTTATGTATCGATAAAGCTGTCCAATACAAGTAAACAAGGTTATCATAAATCAAGACAGGCTTCTCTAGTTGTTGTTACACTTACGTTGGTCAAATAATAACTGTATTTTATTTAAATGCAACACCAAACAACTAAGAGTTAAAAGTATTAAAAACTATTAGTGCTACACAAATTAATAACAACAATGATAGAGTAAACATGCAACTAATTATGAATATACACACCAATAAAATGCACTTTATTTTGCTAAATATATAATACATTATAATGGGTTCACACAAATATAAGCAGATTAACACGCCTAATCACCCTTTGGTTTTGATAATTTATTCCCCCTTTTTTCTAACTGTTTAGTTCATAAAAACTTGTTTTTAAGTCGTTTTTATGAAGTTTTTAGGGTCGAGTTTTAACGACTTATTTACTGAACGCTTCATTGATTGCAAAAACTCTTATATGTAGTCAGATAAGTTGAATATAATATATTTTACGTCATCTAAACAAAGTTATATAGTATTTCTTCTATGCATTACAAGTTATATGATATTCAATATTTTTCGAGAATCAATGTAGAGGTTTGTAATAAACATATGCTTTTTCTTGTTTACCAATAAACTTATTTTTATTTTATATACTTACTAGCCGTTATCGGCTAGATGTTATTCCCAAAAGAAAATGTTAAAACTTATTCCAATATACTTATATAACACTACTTGGGAAGGCAAATCGGGATAGACATAATTGTAATCAATTTTTAATTACTTAGTTTTTCCCCCTTTTATCCACATGCAGTTATTGTATTTTTTTGTGTATTAATAAAAGCAACTGGGGAAATTAAAAGCTCAAATTCTAGACACAGTCATATCCCCTTAATAAGTAAAATTAAGACATATAATAGTAAATTTTTATTAAACATTTGAAAACAGTTTATTTTTGCGTGTAGTAAAATAACCGGCGGAAATGAAATTCAATTTTACTTGAGGTGTAAAAGCGTTTAATTATTAACTCCTTAAAATGACATTCTTTAGAATTTGATAGTTTTCCAGATGCGTATTGCACCAGAACTATCTCATTACCAAGTATCAACTTTTTGTCGTATCTGTAAGCGGTAGATCAAATTCAAGCACTTAGAAGAATATATAGCTTATATAAGGTCGTGGTCACTCTAGGTAAGTATTCGGTCAATACTGGATTATTGAAATGACTCCGATTTTCCCGTTAAAAAGTGGGTGAACATCAAACTTTGTCAAGAACAATTTCCCTCAACGTACCTCAAGTACCCGATCGAATAGATGCGAGTAGCTAACAAACCAAACAAACAAACATCACCCACTTTGCATTTATATATATATATATATATATATATATATATATATATATAGATTACGTTTTTCGAACCTTCATCTCGACAAAGTCTAAAGAGTAATCGTGGCCTGTAACGCTATTCCAGTGAACTCCTTTTCTATTCACAAGACTACCCCATTCACCGTTGACATTAACATAGTGACAATCTTCATACCACCAGCCACCTCTTCTGTCTATCGCACAATTTTTTGATGATCTGTCGTTATCAGAGTCAATGGTTGTAAACTTCATGCCTTGATGCAAACTCAAGTTGTCTATAACATTCCCACCACTAAATGAAGTATAGCTCATCTTATACTTTGCCTCTTCATTTTCTACCTTAAAACCTGTATACACAGCATAGTAGTCTGTACCTTCATACTTCATGTCGAATCTAAGTTCATTAAAACCCTGTGGTGAAAAAAAATACATTTCAAAAACATGCAAGTATTATAAATACTTTTATATTTGACAAAGTATTTATTTTTTATATTTTAAATTTACTAAATATAGGTAAAGGGAATGGATCTTTAAGTAACAAGAAAAAAAATTAAAAAGATAACGACATTCTTGAAATTGGAATATTTTTAACATGGGTATTATAGTATTGCATATTTGTGATTAGATGTATTTGTTTGAAAATAAACAGTCAACTAAATATACTTAATTTACTAGACTTAAAATATAAAGTTCCTTTAAATATGCTATATTCTGATATAAAAACGTAATGTTTGCATGGATAACTTAATAGCATAGGCTTTTTAAATAAAATATAAATGTGGCTTTGTTTTGGAGACACATGTTTAATATTAAACATGCATGTATATGAACATATTTGTAATCACTGATGCTTTTACCAAATTAGTCAATGCTGAAATCACGTCATTTCCTAACCAAAAGTCGCCAGTCGTCGAACCGAATCCCTCTTTATAATCTTTCCAAGGTCGTGTGAAGTTCACATCGCCTTTAATGCGCCTCTGTTGAAAATAGTGAGAAGTAAGATTTTTACTGAAAATTTAAAAAATAATAATACTATACATTAAATTTGAAAAGTAATATTGAAATACGTTTTGTTTCGGCTTTTTTTCAAAAATGGTAAAATACTGCGTTAAGTATTTTGTCCCTTGAAAAAAAAATGATTTTTTTAAAAAATGCATCAAGTAGGTCCTATTAAGCTTCCTTAAACTATAAATATCAGCAACTGACTTCAAAAAGTGTGTAATCGTAATAGCAATTAAGCAATTATTTATGTAATTACTTTTGAACTACGGTGCATCAAGATCGAATTTTGTATTTTCAATTTAAAATAATGTTGAAAAATCTTATATTGTAAAATAACATTTTGAAAAAAAATTAGAAAACAAAACAGATGGGTTTTTAGCATAATCAATTTACAATCAATTAAAAATCGTGACGAACCTGTATGATAATCCATCCCCCACCGTCTGTCTCATTATCACATGAAATTCTGTTGACAGCAACTTCAGCCTTCGTTAAATCTTTAAACACATCCTTCATCATGGTCGTACATTTTAACTAGTAAAATATTTTTAAAAATTGTTAAGTATGTTTGTGGTTTCAAATACTATTTAATTTCATTATTTATATATATTACCAATACAAGTAAATTTAATCATCCGCAGATTATATTTTAATCAATTTCCAATTTAAAGAAAAGTTCTTATTTTAATGTATACGATCTATGTAATCAAGCGTTCAATATATGTATGTTAACGAAGGACTATTCCACAACACCTGGTTAAACAAAATCACCAATCGTACAGTTACATAAGATTGATGATTAAAACTTACTTGTTCTATTTGGTTTAGAATAGATATCTTAGTTCCTAGCAATTTATTTATTAAGTCATCGATATCTTTAGCTTTTGAAGTTAGACTTTCCATTGTGTCATTTGATGTTAGTACACTCCCATTTATCTGATTGTCTGAATCGTTCAGCTCTAACGCTTTCATTATCAAATTCCTCAGTGATTTTATGTGTGATTCATACTGTAGCTTGCTATTTTCTTCCAGCTTTTTCATACTTCTATTTTGAATCTCAGCAAAGCTTTCAGCGTTATTTTTTATTTTCTCATTTGTAAGGTTTAATAAATCCATTTTTAAATCCATCATAGTTTTATATAGGACTTGACTGTTCTTAGTTGCGTTAGAAAAACGCTGGATATCCAGCGATACATTTTCTACTCGAGCGCTCAACTTCTCTTGATGTTTAATTAAAATGTTTAATTGCCTTAACACGTCCTCAACTTTTGTTGTTTGTCTTTCCATGATCGCAGTGCTTGTTTGTATTTCTTTAGATATTAGAACTTGTTTTGTTTCATTACATGTTTCCGATATTTGAAATGATTCGTCAGATGTAATCGTATTTTTTGTACCCGAATTTTCAAGAGTCTGTGTTTTTTCCACTTGATCAAACGACGAGCTTTGATGTTTTCTTTCCTTCATATTGGTAGCATTACCTAACACTGTATGTTTCACTGTTATTTCCTTTGCATTATATACTTGAGGTACTGTTTGGTTTAATATTTGATTATCATTTAAAAACTGTAATTGCATCTTCAAGTCAGCATTGTTTAATTGATCTTGATATTTAAATGTTTTTAGAAACTCTGACATTTTATCAATTGTTTTATCAAACTCTGGAGTTTTAGCCTCTAATGTCATCAACATCAGCGGTTTACGATTTACTTGGTCAACAGGTTTGGTTTTATTCTCTTTCTTCTTAATTAGACCCCTTCTATTTGTGTAATATACATCACATCCAAATACTGCACTAAAACAATCAGAAGCTTTTGTAAATGATACAGTCAACTCTCCAAACGTATGTTCAAAATTTCCTTTAACATGCGTTTGCTTGTAGTTTCGAACACTTAAATCGGATTCAGAGACAGATGCCAATACAATTTTCCCCTCGAATTCACTGATCCTATAGACGGACATGTTGACAAGACCTAAGATTTCATCATCTTCTCTTGTATTTTCCAGACAACGTAATTTGGAACAGAATACATCATTGCCCTCAGTAGAATATTCTTTTACTAAAGATATTTGAAGACCTGAAAAAAAAAACAACTAAAAAATAAAGCAAAAGCCTAGAATAAAAACGATAAATATTATTGAAAGGCCTACAGTCCTGTTTACTTTTTGCCTATAGAGAGCTACCATATTCAGCCACCGGGTTTTCACCATTTGAGTTAGTTTATGGTGCAAATCCTAGAGGACTCATGCACATTATGAAGTCGATGCTCCTTGATGAAAAACTAACTCCTGACATCAAAAACACATACAAGAAAGTTGTTGATCTGCGTTAGCAAATTATTAGGTCTTGTGAAATAGCGAGAACTCTATCGACTTAGAATAAGGGTAGGGATCTTACGAAGTTTAGGGTGGGGGATCAAGCTAGAGTGATATCGCCACCCAAAGAGAATAAACTACAGCTCGTCGGGCGAGGTCCTTACACCATCCTAAAACAAATAACTTAAGTTGATTATGAGATAAATGTTAACGGAAAGTCCAAAAATTTTAATTTAAATATTCTTAGCTCATTCAACATCAGACCCCCTGATTTGGACACAACTGAACCCATGGCTTAAATCCCCATCACCTCACAATAGCTTTATCATTACCTAACAATAACCTAACCCTTACCTCGCCCGTACCTAAACATTATATCACAATAACATCATCATTAAATAACATAAACCTAGCAAAAACATCATAATTACTACTTCACAATAACATTATCATAACCTCACAATAACATCACCAAAACCTCACCATTATTTTACAATGGCTTCAACTGTACCTCACAATATTTTCGCCATTACCTCCGTATTACTAAATCCTTACTACATCAGGTACACACCAGATGTAGGTGGACCCAAGGACATTTTACTGACCTTAACCCGGATCTGTACTCGAGACTTTCTGGTTATCAGTCTAGCTCTCAACTGCTAAGCCACGCCGTCCAATGGTTACCTGACCATAATAACATTAGTACTTACCTGTTACCGCACAACCTCATTATAACCTGCCATATTTATCAACCTATTATCTCACCATTACCACATTAGTATCTCCCTTTTTCCCACAACATTGCCACCACGACATCTTTTGCGAGACTATTATTATCTTCTGATTAAATCACTATAACACCATAAGCAAAAGTAGTAAAATTCCCTTTCAAACCTGACGGTCTTCGGGGGAAAGTGAAGCAGAGTTCACTTATTTCTGTGACCTCGGCATATAAAGGGCTAGTGTGGTCATCTCTCTGCCCAGCCGCCATTACTCACGTGAGTTAGGTACTCATCAGAGTTGGGTGGACTGAGTTGGGTGGATTCAGGGACGGTCTACTAAGCAGTTCAGCTCTCTACCGCTATACCACTCCGTCCCATATAACATCATATTATCTAACTATTGTCTCTTTCTCTTAACTTGGAAAGCAATTGCATGTCTGCTTTTGTTCTTATAGTTAATCAGTTCTTACAGGTTGGGAAATATTGTTATTCATATGAACCCGCATCATGTCCTCCTGGCTCTAACTAAATAACGGATGTTTTTTAATGAAAATAATTTTAGGTCAATCCTTTATGAAAATGATAAATACACAGGAAAGACAAATTAATAGAATAGAAACATACCAATACATTTAGGTTTATGTGGCTTTGTAATATGGATAACCTTACCAGCATGCACATCTGTGTTCTGTTTAGTACAAAGCGGTGTAAACCCTAGCCATTTCTACTTGTGGTTTAAAGGATTATTGAAGATTAGCGGTTATCTGCTAGGCTTTGCACCAGCCATTATAGCCATGTCAAAAGGTTTATGCTAACGAACATATATGTTTGTTAACACAATGTTTTAAGAAAAATTAAAGAGAACGCATAATCTACGCTCAAAACTGCAACAGCACCGGATTCTATAAATTATACTTTACATTAACTGCTATTCCATTATTATCATGTTTTGCTAAACAAATATACTATCCCAGTAAACCACTAAACAGAAACTGCTTATTACACATACCCTCTTCTAGTGAGCAACAACCACATACGCTACAAATAAACTGTACAAACATAAAATTCTTGATATCCAAAAGGATAAAATGTCTCTTTATATGATTAATCTAGTCCAACTTAGTCTCCATTTGTATATTTTCGGTCAAAGTGCCATTGCGAATCAATCAAGGACACCCGAAATGACGCTTTAGTTGTTTAGTTGTTGTTGTTTTTTTTTAAATTTACACCGTGCACACGTGACAATATAAAAATTATTCGTTACAGGAACATGTAATCAGATATATATGTTACGGTCAACGCCCGAAGTTGGCCAATGCTAGGATTGGCCGGCCAATCCTCGCATTGGCCAATATCGCCTCCCATATGTCGGTCAAAGTCCGAAACTTTGCTTGATTTCGGCCTTTGGCCGGCCAATCCGCAGACTGGTTATTGTGGACCGGCCAAAGTCTTAAATAGCTCTTCATTTCGGCCTTTGGCCGGCCAGTCCGCGGACTGGCCATGGTGGACAGGCCAAAGTCTTAATTAGAAGATCATCTGGCTAGGGATGACCGGCCAAAGTCCGGATTAGAAGATCATGAGCAGATTTTGGGTTTTTTTTATGCCGTAAGGATCATGAAATTAAGTCTTTATTAATTATTAATTAAAGTAAATGACAGAAATATTCAAATTTTTTATTGTACTACAGTCTCAAACTATCAATATCATCATTTGTTACTAGTTGAACTTTTATGGCATTTAGAATTACATAGCAGCTTGCTATTTTTACACTTGAAGCGATTTGTTGTACACTTAGTTGTGCAATTGCAGCGAGTGTAGCCTTGGCCCAAGTCAATGGTTGTGAAGATGCGATGGTTCGTAGAGATTTTTCCTCAGTGCCAACTGACGACATTAAGAGCAGTTTTTCGTGAATAATAGAAAACTCACTTCAAGAATATATTTGTTTTAGAACACCACGTTCCGTTCCTAGCTTGTAGAAAGCGATGTCGACGCTCATGACAACTGCAATCACGCTTCGGGGATCACCGTGACCTCTGTCAACATCTGGAAAACGGATACGTACATTGTCACCCACTTCACCATCTTTAAATTTTGTATTTGATGTTTTAAGCATCTTAGCACCTTGAGTTTGCAAGCCAGTATGAGCTGCTGATCTGTGTTCCATGATGTCTTGTTTGTTGTGACACAATCTGCAGGTAATGTTCCCTCCGTACCCTTCGTCTGCTTCATTGGGTATTCCACAAATAGCTTGGACATCGTTGCCACGGGATCCACAAGAATGAGCTGCACTACAATGTTTTTCACAAACTATATAGAATCTGTTGGCAACATTATTGTCACGCAACTGGTCTGGGCGTTCCGCCACGGCAGTAGATGTGTTAGCTGAGGATGTCGATGCATTTAACTATTTTATCGAGAGCCCATATATGGAAACTAACATGGATTTACATTTTTTTTCTTTTGACAGCCATCTGCTATGTCGGTCTCATGGTCTGACGGCCCTTTTGATCCATGTCGCCTTGCATATAGAATGCTATACAAACAAGAGCTAAACAGCACGTTACTCTCAATGAAAACGCACCCAGAATAATGAAAATGCGATCACAACTTAGTCTAGATAGAACATTGGCCAGGACATCCCGGCCACTGCGCGCATTGGCCGGCCAATGTGCAAAATACGCTGTAAAGTTTAAGCGCTTCGGACTTTGGCCAGTACGTCCCGGCCAGTGCGCGCATTGGCCGGCCAATGTACGAAATACGATCTTAGTGCTAAGTTCTTCGGGCTTTGGCCAAGAGAGCCGGCCAATGCGCGGATTGGCCGGCCAATCCGCGCTTTGGCCGCACTTCGGGCTTAGACCGTAACATATATATATATATATATATATATATATATATATATATATATATATATATATATATATATATATGTATATATATATATATATATATATATATATATGTATATTGACAAAATGATCTCATGACAAATAATCTCAGACAAAATATCTTAGACAAAATATCTCACGGATAAATGATCTCAGGACAAATGATCTTAGGACAAATGATCTCAAGGACAATTGATCTCATGGACAAAAGTTACCAATACAAAAGATATCAGAACAAATGATAACACGGACAATTGATCTCAGACAAAATATCTCAGACGAAATATCTCACAGTAAAATTTTAATAGTGTGTCGGATGATTGTGACTGAGTTCATTTTTCCTGATATATATATATATATATATATATATATATATATATATATATATATATATATATATATATATATATATATATATACATATATATATAATTTAGAGGCCTTTAAAATTACATATTATTTCTTTGTTTTTATGTTTCCGAAAACATTTCACTCCAACATAATGTGCCCCAAGCAATCAGGAACAAAAAAAATACATAATTAAAGCCGTCCATATATTTTCACTTTAAATTTTAACACCGTGCTGCTGTATATAGTAAACAAAATAGTTTGGCTCAGAGTGGTGTCTAGTCACTAAACGGGTCTACGACAAATTCCCGAAAGACACTTGCTTGAATGCCGTTTGCCCGAAGGTAATATATAATATTATTTTTTTCACTTTCTTTTTGCTCAGATGTGTTTTGTTTACCAACATTTTAAATTTAAATTGATTACGAATGATTATTTAGTAATATATAATGTTAAAATTTTCGGGCAAACGGCCTTCGGGCACGTGGCATTCGGGCATTTGTCGCATTCGGGCAAGTATCCATTCGGGCATTTGTCCCATTCGGGCAAGTGTCCATTCGGGCATTTGTCGCATTCGGGCAAGTGTCCATTCGGGAAATCGGCCTTCGGGCAAACGGCATTCGGGCAAGTGTCTTTCGGGAAAACGTCCGGCTCCCCACTAAACCACCAATTCATCCCCATGCCCCAGTTGACCTTATTACTACCAACTAAGATATACGAACTTTGGCAGAGTACGAGGTTTGGGATAACAATACCTCGACGAATGTTTGATGTAGAATGGCATATTGGCGTGCATGTATGTGGTAGGGTTGTATGGGGTAGGCAGGTCAGGTGATTAAAGCACAAGAACTGGTAATGCCATCCAGGCATGATGCATCAGTGTTCTGTGGCTAACCCTACACAAAACAAGTCGTTGAGTATGGCGCCTGTTACAGCGACACTGTCTACTTGATGTAATCGAAAAGGTATTGCTATTCATGCTAATAGATTGTGTTTCTTTAAGAAGGAATGGTTGGGATGTGGAGGGTCGCACACTTGTCATATTTAATGTTAGCTGGATTAGATTGCTTTTGAGTAATATATAACCCAAATAATTGTCAGTATGTTCCAATTACAGAAGAATTAAATAAAATTGCTGTGCCATATCATTAAGGTCAAAACACATTGTCCATATGTCACTTGCTGGTAGGCTATTTATACAATAGTAAAGATTTAATTGTAAATTTTACATATCACAAAAGAGACAGTACATAAAAGCAGGCAAGCAGTGTTACCTTGTGTTGCCTTATAGCTTAAGTAAATAATAGATTGTCGTGTTTGAATATCCTTTGTGCTCAGTGCTTTAGAATCGTCACTGCTGCTTTCAAATTTTTCAATTTATTGTTAGAGAAGAATCCGTTCATTTTGCTTTGGCTAAAAAATTGATGTATTATTGCTCCAAATATCGTGTCGATAGTTTTCCTGTCGGCCTATAGGGGACGCCTAATCCGTACCAGCTGGCAACACCCCATGCCCACTATTAAATCTCATGGCTAGGTCATCGTGACTTAAAACTTAATGAATTTTGTGTAAAAAGGACTAGGTTATGTTGACATAAGGCACAGATCTTCGTTCACTCACCACTTAGATTTTGACCCACATACCTAACACTGAACTTTTGAGGCTACAGCTTTGTTTTATTGCCTCAAATTTATGTGAAAATAGAACTATCATTAAATATAGATTACTTATTGCAAGCAAATAAAACTTGCATCTCCAAACTTTACAAAATAATA